CCCAAGCCAGGAAAAGCCATTTGGTGGGAAGAAAGCTGTGACGGAAGGACCAAGGATTCGGATAAAAGGGCTCCACCGAAAATTTTGCCACCGTAGGTTGGGTCCTGCCTGAATAGCCGCGCCTCGGTTGTGCAGTCACACGGGATGGCCCTCGACAAAGCACTGGCGGACACAGGAAGATGGAGCGATACCCCGAGGAACGTTCAACAGATACATGTCTCGGGATCTTTTTTGTACCATCATGCGATACCCTTCACTTTCATAGCTCAGCCGCGGGCGCTGCTACGATTGATAAGGCTTGGAAGGTGCGACCTGTATTGCAGACACTGGAGAAGACGTTTCGCCGAGGGTATCGACTTGGAGCGCGCATTAGCTTCGACGAGGGGACCATTCCTAACCGAAGTAAGTTCAATCCGGTACGCGTCTACAACAAGGACAAACCGCACAAGTACGGGACGAAGGTGTACATGGCCTGCTGTGCGGAATCCGGGTATTGTTCTCGGTGCGTATTCTCTTTTTACTCTGTACGATACAGCATAAGCTACGCTGAATTAGCTTGTTCCGAATGGTACAGAATGGCATGTTCTGTCGGATACAGAGTTAGCTGACTATTGTGCTTGGTGTTCTGTATGGCTCAGCACTGAAGTTTACATGGGTGCCTCGGACGAGTCGAAGAACGCGCAGACTCCTGCAGAGCGAAACGTAGCCAAGTATTAAGCGAAGGGTGTCGCGCAGAAAGCTGGCATTCGCAACGTCTCCAAAGCTCTGAATGGGCAGCAGGGAAAACGTCTTGTTATTGCAAATAACTTCTACTCATCGTGCGCACTCGCGATCGGACTGTTGGAGAAAGAGTATTACTACGTCGGGACACACCGAAGCGACCGTCTCGGGTGGCCAGCTGGATTCACGTTCACACAGAAAAAGCGGCCCGTGTCGATGCCCCGAGGAACTTATCGTATTGCCTAGTCGAAGGATCACTCTGACCTGGTTGCTGTGTCCTGGATGGACTCAAAACCTGTGAATCTAATTGCTACCGGTTGTGCAACCACGGCTACCACCGTCACCAGAAAGGAGAAGGGATCTGCGATATCTCAAGTGGTGCCATGTCCTAAGTTACTTGCCGATTATCATTGTGGAATGGGGGGCCTGCGGAGAAGAGCGTCGAGTTCCAGCCGTAGAGTTTGAGCTGCTGTGCGGCGCAGAACAGTGTCCAAGCACGCGGATCGATACCTCGTAAAAAGTTTTCTGCCGCGGGACAGGTCAAGCCGATCATACTGAGACACGAGTTGAACTCCGCTTCACTTTCTGCCGCCTGTGCGCGCCACACCAAGTCCTCCACTTGCACGGTGGCCAGGTTCTTGACCATGATCTTCAGATTCGAGAG